GAAATTTGAGTAGGCGTCCAAAGCGCAATTGCGACGTACGCTGCTCTTTTGTAGGGACGAAAAATATGGTTTTGGACACCTTTTCCTTGAAACGTTGGCCAAATGCTAGTTTTCATAGGGGTATTGGACAGCTGTGACTATCTAGTCTGCGCTTGGCAACTCAGAGTGGATAGGTCCCTCCAGCCTCCATAAATTTAAAGGGTGATACTTGCTTCTCTTTGAAGGCTAGCATCCCTTGTACTGGAACGATCCAACCGGTTGTTGACCGTTGATCAGTGAGCAGTGCTAGCATACAATAGGTTGCTGATAATTTAAGCCGCTCCACCTGCGTTTCTCTTATGAAATGCCAAGAAGAAGCTCATGGTGCGAATCGGGTGATGCCCATTCGTCGGCGGTAATGCAGCGGAGAACTTTGTGCGTGCCCTGGTTCACTTTTGTTTTGATTGCCAGGGAAATTTCCCAGAATTTTATCAAACTTACTGCCGAGTTCACATTGTCTGTGCAAATTTTTAATGTTTTGAATTTTTTGTCGCAGAACTTTTTTGCAAACCCTATATATTCAACACAGTCTACAGGAATGCTCTATAGAGGCTTATTCATCACAAACATATATATTCAATGGGTTACTTCTAGAAAAGGTTAGGTACTTTTGTACTATGGTTAGGTAGAATTTGTAGTATACGTCTTGGAAGCATTGCACAGATTTCACTTTCTCAGCGTTGCAATCGCGAAACATGAATTGATCCTCGAGGGCTTTTAATGATATACCCGGACTCCATGTCTAATTCTTAATAATTAATAAATCACGTTTTGATGCTCTATTATGCAGTAAAACATTCCTAAATTCGGTAAGCCAATGAAAGAATTTCCTTCTGGGACATTGGCATACACCGGTGGGTGCCAGTCGTGCGCGAAAGGAAGGGATGTAGTCCCATAGGTCACTCAGGTGTAGTCCCATACGTCGAAATCCGCTATGTCGTAAAAGGGTTATCCATAGTTTCTCACCTTTAGCCTTCTCTTCTTTGGAAACATCGAGTGGTCAGACATCAATTGCGCAACACTACTAAAGATAAAAATTGCGCGAACCAGCACTCATTTGGTCAATCTCCTCCCTGTTCACTAACATGAGGAAGTGACAAAGGAAAGGATTCGCTTAGTGGAACTGCCTTGGTTGATTTGCGCGACACCATACTGTTACCAGAGGTTCCTGGATTAGCACCCAGAGCAACCTAGAACCAAGCGAGAACAGGGATTTTTCAAAAGGCATAAGAAGCGAAATAGCGAGTGATGCGCAGCTGTTGTCCGATCACTGATGGTAAATTGTTTTAGGCGTCTTTCGATGGCAAATAGTTTGAGGCGTCTTTCTCTAACCCCGTTGGTCGCATGTCAGTGGTTCAACCAACTGTTCACCGTTAATCGCTCTCAGCGAATAGATCGCTGATGATTCAAGTGGCTACACTTGTTTTTTTCATTTTACATTGTAGAAGATGAGCCTGCTGTTGTCTAATCACTGATGGTAGAATTGTTCGCTATCGTGTTCATATTGCTTATACAGGGGGAAAGGGGGGGGGAGAGAAGGGTCACGCAATAGCATTGTGAGTATATCAAGGAATCGATAAGGTACCGCCGGCGCTTAGGAGACCAGGATGAGCGGGTCATGCATGGCGTCCCGATCGTTGTTGGGACGCGTAGAACTGTTCGCGATTGCGATCGTGCGATCGCGCGCTCTGAAGGGAAACGTTTGAACTCGTACAAGGATAGGGTAGCCGCCGCGTGACCACTGCCGCAGGTCGTGTGAAGTTCCGTTAGGGCGAGTTTTCAGCTTTCCACACGGATAAACATCTTACCCATCTAGGTGCTCCTAACCCTCTTAAGGCTTGGCTAGAAAAACTACGTTTTCCCTGCTAAAACAGCGTAAAAGCGCACAGAAGGTTGGTGCCTATCCTCTTCTTTGCCTTCGATACAGTGCTAGTATAACATGGACCAACACCCCGTTACTTTCGTTCTGTACTAGTACTATTATGTCCCTTCCCCAACTACATTTTCACCCGGCCCACCAAATTGAGTCTTTTCACGAGGTCATCATTGCTGAGCTCACCGAGCGGCCTTTACGCGATTCTAACTCAGAATACGTTCACAACCTAACCTGTACTGATTGTGCATATCGAGGAACTTTCGTCTCACTGAGTCCGTCATCCCTGAGTTTGATGGGCACATATTGTTCGTTTCTGTGAAGATAAACTGATGACGATAAGTAGAAAATTGAAGCAAGCAACAAAACATTCTTCTACTATAGCGAAATTCATTAAAAGTGAATGGCTGATAAGGGCATTTATTGTTACGCAGTTCTCGAGTCTGTATTAAGATCAATTGAACAGACTTTTTAGTAAGAACCTGGTTTGCGGAGTGCGATACTCGATCAGCTCTGAACAAAATTTGGCCTTACCTGGAACTGGTGGTCCTTTCGTGCACAGTCCATCATCACAAACTGAATTCGGGAAGGTGGTGCAGTCAGAGCCAGTTGAACAAGCAGTCCCGGTCTCCCACATCGGTTCATTAGAGATGTGTCCGCTGCAATGATATTCGTGAATTCAAAGATCCAAAGTTCAATCAACGCCCCGGACAGTACCGAAGACAGTAAGGACATATTCGAGATGAGGAATGTATTGAACATTCCTCTATGAAAAATTGAACAATTGTTAGCTTGAAAGCTTGAAGCTTGAAAAATAAACGCCATCAGTAATCGGCTAGCCTGTAGTTGTGCATTCGCCACGACCTTCCCAGCCCACGTTCAAGCGTTCAAGAGTGATCACTGTTCAGGTGGTAGGAGCTGTGTTTTTCAATTCATTGCAGATTTAGTAGGTAGAACGAGAAATGCTACCTCGGATTACTGAAAGGTGAAGAATTCGCCCGTGAGTTTAATTTTACAAGAGGAACATGCGACAGGAATATTCTTCAGCGACATTCTGAAGAGTTAAGCTTCCCCCNCCCCCTCAGCCCGCTTCATCGTTTTCCGAGAACCAGTTGCAAGAGAGACAGGGTAGTACGAAAAGAAGAAAGGTTCGGGTCTTTGCTAAAGGACAAGGCACCGGATTGTCCATAGCCTATTCGAAAACGAGTCAACAATTCTGAAGTTTACAGTGATAGATGAAACTGACATTCCGTTGTAAAGGCAGGTGAAGACCAACGTTGTGCCGCCACATATTTTATAAGCACATCCGATCTTGCTTGTTTCAGAGAACACCATCTATAATGTGAACGAAACTCTTTGAGGATTGACATCGAAATGCTTCTTAAACACACATGAAGCTTTCAAAGTTAGTCATAGATTTGATAGCATTCAAGTCATTCAAAAACTCACATTAGCGAAATTGTAAAGGGCTCCAGTGGTGTATCTGTTTTCCGCGTCAGATACTCCAACCTTTTTGACTTCACCCCACCAATTGTCCAAAGATGATTTCACTTGTACAATGGGATTCGAGAATCGTCCCGAGGTCGACCACCTAAGTAAGTACATTTACGTATATGCGTACATATAGACTTTGATGAAAGTGGCGTTTCAAACATTATTGCGACGCCTTGGCCAAGATGGCATAAATTCCTTCTGATCCTTCAGCCATGTTGCTTTCACCAGAGCATGAGATATTAGGCCTCTACCACAGTACCATACAAAGCTCTGACGCAGAGGCCGAAACGTCAAAGTATTATTTCTGTTCCATCTTGGCCAAGATTTCATTGTTACACCTTAGACATCGACAACTCCAAACCCAAATTCAAGAAAAAAAGTAGTTTTTTTTCGCTTTGACTATCTATTAGGTCGTTTGGTAAGCACCTTCCAGAAGTTTTGCATTAGTTAAAATTTTTCTGGAATATCCTTGGAGGATTAATTGACTTGCTACGCGGTGACAGCACCCGCTCGTATACGCATAATATTAGTTTGGCGGCAAAGTCTTTGCAACATTTGCAATTTTTTTCAATTTTTTTCTTCACGACAACTAATAATTAACATATATGTATATGCACCGTCACTATCAGCAAGGTATTGCCATTTATCAGACGTGGATCTTGCTTGCATGGAATTGCTGGGGTTTCGAGGAGAAAGACTTGCCATTACACGTCTCGATTTGATTCACATCATCGAACTTCTTTTTTTCATATAGTTTGACAACGACAGCAGCGTGTGATAATCTGTTAGAACCAGGTTTGGTGAATACGGGTGGCGGGCCGGAACATGTCATCCCAAGCTCTGATGTTTCGTCTGGGCGAGCACTGTCGTGAAGAAAGTAGACTTTACTCTGTTTCTCTCGTAGATTTGCAGCAATAAGGTTCACAGAGTACACGACTCTGGTGCTGAAAGTGGAGTTGGTGGCAGCAAGATCCTTCCGAATGACACCGAACGCTAAGCATTACCTTCCTATTTTGGAGTTCTTGCTTGGGGGTCGGGATTCCATGCTCTACGCGTTCGAGCCACTGGCGCTTCTTTGTATGGTTTACTTAGAGAACACACTCCTCGTCGACTGTGATTAAGTTCTCCGGTCATAAGTAGGTGCGCCGGAAAGTCAACAAGTTCAGGTATGAATCTTTACTTACTTGGAGGTGGTGACCACCCACCTCACCACATATCCTTACTCCGTACCTCAGTGTCTTTCCGAGGCGATACAATTGAGCCACTACTGTATAGTGATGGCTATAGAACTCCTGTTTCAATTCGCGGGTTCTACATCTGGAATCCTCATCAACCAGTTCCGGGAAATGGTCGTCATCCAAGTCAACTGGTCTCCCAGATCGTGGTTTTTCGGTCTAGTCAGAGTTATTATTTTTGAACTTGTGGTATGAATTTCTTGTTGTGCTTCGAGAGAGAATGGAGGGTCCTAACGCATCACACATTTCCCCTGTCGCTAAATTTGGATTAACGTTTTTTTGATCATATAAAGCAGAAGCGGTTAATCGTGCCTTGAGTCGAGAGCGATTCTTGCAGGCATAACCGTTTCGAAATGGTACGGCAGATAAGGTATGGAATGCGCATTGACCTGCACTTACACATGTTTCGCAATGAACGCTTCGAAGCAATCTCCAAAGATTTTACAACATGAAAATGAAAATGTGCAAGTACTTTCCGCCAACCTAATATATCCGACTACAACTACCTAGGGTATTCGATATCAGGNTATCTGGTCTCAAAGCCCTTCACAAGCTCTGTGCATGCCTCGTTCTTACGTTTCAAAGGGGGAAGCACGAGGTCTAAGATGAGTGAGTGTCGAACTGGGCAAGCGAACTGGGACACCATGAATTACTTGTATGTGTTACGGGCATACAAACGCCTTTTTGTAGTACCTCAATGAAAGCCTCTAGAGCAATCAAGAAAATTCTGTACTTTTGCGAAATTCCAGGCAGCTGCTAGAGAAAGATAGTTCGCACGGAAATCAAAATGCCAAATTACCTCATTATGTTCTGCGCGGTGTTAGGCCATGATCCCAAATTTGCCGGGCAGTTGACGATAGCATCCTGTGCCTGCTGCTCCATCATGCAGTCCCACTCCTACATTAATAGGTAATATAACGAAAAGCATAACACGAATCATACTTGAGCTATATCACATGCCGGCTGGCCGACATGCATGGCTCATGCATAGCTATTCTGCTCACTGACGTAGACAGAACGATTCCCCACAGGTAGCCTCCCTTTTTCAGTCACTTTACAGAGCAAAGAGTGAAGTGATTGAAATGAATGAAAGAGGTCGAAAGAAAATGCAAAGAAAAATGTTTCCAAGGGATTCATTGTGAAAATGAATCGCAAGTCATGCTCGGTCTCGTCGGAGTGGTACAGATTCACAGATGAAGCATGGGTCATGTACTACCTTCGATGTCCGTTAGTACAGTAGTTGAGTAAGTAAAAAGAAGTTTCAGTGGGCCATTAAAGAAAATCGCTTTGACGATTATGATCGCAGTATGATCGGAAATGAGGATTCCTTATACAGGTAGGATTGTTGTTCGAAGCTCATGTGTTATAAATGACATGAGCTGAAGTTTAGGAAGAGAAAGAGAATACGTGTAGAAAATTAATTCTTGTCAGGAAATGTATTGAGATGAATCAGAGAGACCAGATGGGACGGAGTGAGAATCTAGGATGGCGGATAGTGTTCTGATGGTTCGAGTGCAGCTTGTGTGGAGTTGTTGAAGAAAATTCCCATGGTGTGTACTACGCAAAAACTGCGTCTGAGAACACTAACATCAAGCCCCTTGTTGCTGTTAGGCATTTTTTCGCTCGATCATTGGGGAGATTACTTTTTTTTGCTTCGGCTTTATGGTTTTTCAGTTGTCTTAGTCACGCTGTCATGCTAAATCTCACAAATATGGCGAGTTATGACCTAAACTTCTGCCTCTGACAGGCCTCAAAAAACTACTTTCCTGCCACCGCGGGCTTTATTCCTTTATTCCTTACACCACCGAAACCCGCTTGCCCTTGCCTATCATTTTTGCATTTTTTCTCCACCAGCCTCGATGGTGAACTCTTCCATTCACCCATTCTCTTCCTCACTTCCTCCATCAGGATTTTTTCGTGAATGTATAGCTTACCAGCTCGTACATGTTCTTAGCTGGGTTGAGCATGCCAACTTTGTTCGGCTCCTGCCCCTTTGCCACACGACGACGAGCATCATTATGAAAATTGAGGATTAGGCTACGAATGGCGTCAGACATTTCATTATTCGCACAAACTGGAATGCAGTTCAGTTAGATTTTCCAAATATAAACTTCAGAATTCAGCTGCTTACCTGCTCTTTTTCGAGCATTTGCAGACGAACTGCAAGTAGAAAGGGCGAAAATCTGAATTGAATTAGCTGAGAGTTGCGTATCATATCGCTTTCTTCAAAATCATTTCTCCAACTAACTTTTAAATTTAGCTTTGAAATTTCTATTTATTTTAGGGCTACAGGAAGTCTAATCCTTCGATAAGTGCTCACTGGAACCAGAGTTGCTATAAGAAAAAGTACCAGTTGCAAGCAACTATGGGGTGTCGGTGTGAAAACGGAACGGCTATTGTGAGGAAGATGATATTCTACAAACATTATCCAAAGCCATGCTGGGTGAGTTTGATGACATGATGGCAGATCCATAGAAAGGGCGTCTGCTAGGTGATCAGTCGCTGTTTTACTAAAAACTGGGGAATAAGACAAATTCATGGCAGCTGTTCGATATCGCTGCAATATTTTGATCCCCCGAGTTAAAGGGCTAGCTATGGGTGAGGTTTCCAGCGTTGCTCACTTCTTTCAAGGTTGACCACTAAATTTCATTGTAATCAATTTTCTGTCAGAAAAACCAAACAAGAGCTAAAGAAGCTTAAGGACACAGGGCGCGGACCCTCGCAGCGCGCCTCCCATTCGACGCAGTTTCTCAGCTGGACAACTCGTTTAGGTGATTCACCCTCCTGACCATGGTGATCGTTAACCCACTCATACAAAGGATGTACTACCAATCGATCACGCCACTACTATCAGACGCCGAATGCAGACCTGCTTTTATTCTGTCTGTTTGAACATTAGCATGGTTAGGGTGAAACACCTGGACGAGTTGCCCAGCTGGGAAAGCATGTCGAATGGGCAGCGCGATTGGAGGAGCTGCGCCTAACGAAATACACTATCCTCTCCGCTCAGATTGGTCAAAAGTTTTTCAACTTGTTAAAGAGTCAACGACTAGCTGAATTCAAAGATTGAGACTATGGAAAACTTACCATTATTATCAAAAAAGTGAACGATATCGTCATCTTATCGGAACAGAGAAGGAGTGTTGAATAGGTTGTCAATCTCTTTATATACAAACTGATTGTACGAGTTGTCAACCAAGCTCTTAATGTATAGACTGATGGAGGAGCGTAGGGCTGAGAGAATTAGATACTCTAGCTGAATATAGGATTGCTTTGATTAAAGAGGCAGCAAAAATTAATGTTAATCGCTACCTGCCCTGTAAAGCGAAGACGATTCAATGTGAACTTTCAAATTTCAGACGAGCTATGATTATGGATAAGAGCCTCTTATAATAAAAAGCAGCACACTTCTATTTAGCCCACAGCTTCCTTCAGCAGCTTTCAAATGTGAAAGAGCTTTCAGAAGCAATGTTAACAAATGTTGAACAATGCCCAATCTTAGATATTGTTTTTTTCTTCGATGTAAAGTGATAAACCCTTGGACAGAACAATCAGCCAAAGCAAAAACAACTAAATAAGGTGTGAAGAAATAGCAAATAGTCCTCACTAATCGTGTTTCCAAAGAAACCTCAGCATATACGGAACAAAAGAAAATGCGAACAACCACTGCAAGGAATTCAAGCTGCCTCCAAGAAAATACCGGCGCTTTAAGCCTATCAATAAAAGAGGGAATTTTTTAGTTAGGATCATTCAAAAATCTTGAAATAAAGGTTGTGAGCAGCTGTTCAGGTTTCTCATTTATCGCATCGCCAGGTAGTTTCGGTGTCTTCCTGACGAAGTGATGCGTTCGGAAAATAGCCAGTTCCTCAAAAGTAGACTGACGAAATCGAATTTACTTTACCTGAGTAATTGGTCTGGTTAATGCACCCTCTAAATTCAATCAAAATGCAAAAGAAATTTGTGTTCGATTTCTTGTTATTTGTTAAGGCTTCTGCGTTCTGTCTTGACGTCTACTTCTCTGTCTGTTCGGCCAGGTTAGGAGAGCTTTGCACTTCCTTCCTTGATTACGGTATGATGTAGATGGTTTTTTGGTGCTATGTTTTCTTTACTAGCTATCTGACTGTGAACAGGTTCGACTTGGTTCCCAACGTAAGTGTATTTGGGCATTGTCAGATATCAGGATTTGTGGTTCTAATAGCATGGTGCAGTATCAGATCTCTGACAAAAGAAAGTGAAAGAATGCATCCGAGTTCACACTTCCCACAGAAAAAATAAACAGTAGCACTTTTTAGAGTGTGCGAGGAAAGCTGGTGCAGGTAACAGTAATCTCCGTCAAATTCAGGAGCTACATGGTTATTGAGCGCGTCACTATGCCACAACGACACTTCTAAAAAACTAAAATGGGCATTACAAGGAAGATGACATGGACTCTGATAAAGCTTTTATATGCTACAGCATGAGTTTAGAAAACACAATTCAGGGCGTGCTGTGAATATGGTAACAAACTATAGGCAAAAAAGCAATTACCTTTATCTGCACTTTTCTTAATGTTTATGGTATGCCTTGGCTCATATATCTGCTTTGCAGGTTCCAGATTTCAACCTTTCGGAAGGTGATGAAACCTTAGCTTCATCTAGCGGAGTTCTCTTCTTTCGTATTTCTTAGGATCTTTTTCGAAGATCACTCTATAGGATTTCTCGCGTGATCATAATGAGCCGCGAGGCGTGAATAGGTCAACGACAAGCTCCCGGATCAGTGGCCTTGCTTCAGTCACAAGGGTATTGCATGTTCTGGAGGTTGCGAGGGTTCTTGTAGCAAAACCTGCAGAAGTATAACAAAAATGGCTGTGGAATCACCTGTATCTGTTACTGAGTGGTAAGAAACTTCCTTGAGCAAATGCATCTGTATCTCTATAGAGTTGGGGTGGTTTATAAGCATCATGACCAGAAGAAATTCGAGAGGAAGGACAAATGCCACGTCCTATTCGCCCCCGGAACGTGCCTCGACACATGTCGTTGACGAAAAAGTGCTTGCAGTGCAATGTCCTACATACGTGTTTTTCCAAGCAAGTGCAGATGCCATAGAGTGGGGTAAGATCGTTACTCGTAGCAGTTTTTCTAACTCCATGATGATGATTTGGCTGGAAACTGTGTGATCATACCTTGTCTTTACTTTATATGAACCCAAAGTTTGATGTGTCTGTTTGTTTGTCTGTCTGTCTGTCTGCTTCTGTCACAAAAAACCTTACTACACATTCCCTGTCCCTATCCTAAGTTGAGCTGCAACTTGAACGCCTAGAATCGCATCAAGAGCACCAGTATTCATCGCCTTTCTCTGAGTCAGGAGTTGATGTGGTGATCCTGGTCGCCAGTTGTAGTGGAGCGGACGGGACGGCAGCTGGCGACGAGGTCGTAGAAAGAAGAGTTTGTAGAAGACGCTTAAGCAGTAACTAGTGCAAGTGCGAGCGAGGGTCGAGAATAATCAGGAAGTTATGTCAGAGAGGCACACAGGCGATCAAATGGAACGATGTATGATATCGTTAGTTCTCATGGTAACATATATAATAGTATTCAATACTTCGGTTGCCTACCAGTACCTCCAACGATTCATTATTTTCAAGATGAACAGCAACAAATTGAGGCTTATAAGCTTAAACAGCATCGTCACATACTGGATACCACTTCCATGCCCTGCCAGTCCTGTGTCAAGTTTTGCGCCCGAAAGTATCATATGTCCAAAGAAAGTCCCGATGAAGGAGCAGCTGGTATGCCGATAATTACAACCCTGTCCAACCATGCGGTGAAGGGTTTCCGAGTCCCCGCATTCCACCGCATCATGTTGGGCTTCTGCTACTTTTTGCAGGAGCCAGACTTTCTCGTCTTGGCGATATGATTTTTTCACAATGCAATCCATTCCAGCATATCCTCTATTCACTTCTGCGAGTTCGTCTTCATCTTATCTTTAGCTTGCTCTCTCCAAATCTCCAGACGTTTCCTCTCATCCATCTTCTGCCGGGTGCCTTTCTGGACCCCTTTCTGTTTTCGATATCCGCCTCGCCGACTAACTACTTTCTGAGTACATCCTGGGTAGCTGTTTCAACGGACATCCATTCTTCTCCCAGGGCGTTCACCTGTCTTAGAGGTTTCAGAGGTTCCCACAATTCCAGAGAGGCAAGGCTTTCGGCGATGGCCGGATCTTCATCTCCTCAGCCGTAAGCGGATGATTTTGAATCTGTTCACTAGCTTCGTCAGCTCGAATTCAAATGACGCCTTTATCCAATGATGATCTGCACTTACGTCTGCACTTCGGAACACTCGAACATTTTGAAGAAACTTTCTCTACTTCTTGCTTATGCTAATGTAGTCTAATGTCTGTAGTCAATCTCTTTCCTTACCCATTGGGCGAGATCCAGGGTTTTTATGGATCTGATCGTGTTGAAAGAAATTATTTCCAATACATGATGCATTCTGCTCACAGAACGAAGCTAGTCGTTCGCTACGGTTAGTTTGACACGCAAAACAAGCGACGACACAAATGCTCGCAATTGCTAACTCGGTCATAGCTCAGTATCGCCACGAACCAATTAAATTCTTCAATGATATGCTTCAGGCCCCTTCTCGGTATGTCGTAAATAGTATTCTGAAATGGCCATAGAAGCTGGTTTCCTTTCCTCACTCAAATGCTCTGAAAGCACATATAATTGAAAAAGCGTGATGGAGGTGTGACGAAAACCGGAGAGCAATATAGTCTTTTCATCGTCTTTCATATGGCCTTTACCGGTTCATCGAACATCGCTATTCCTCAGTATATCCACGTGACAGTTGTCGAGCTCTCGGAGCAATTGAACAAGCTTTTCCGACTGATATGTACAATGTGCAGCCATTCCATTTCCAATGAAATTTTTGTTGTGTGATAAGAAAACCCAACTCCGCGTTGGGATGCCATCCGCCATAAGGTTAAAGCTAGGCTACCTCAATTCACCAGGTTTGGATTGCACTTATGGTTTCTTCAGCATGTAGAATTGTCTACGGTGGGGGTTGCTAGCTCGTTGCATCAACCCTCCTTTCTTATCCTGGCATGGAAAAAGCAGCGGCGGATCCTTGAGAAGAAACGAGCCTCCTTCCAGTGTTGACAATGGCCTATACGAGCTAGAAATGTATTTAAAGGCACGGTCCACGACGAAATGGTTACTGAGTTCTTCCCTTAGGAATACTCAGTGGCCTCCATGAATGGTAGAGAGTCGCTTTCGCTCCCGAAATCCCCATGGTCAGGGCATAGTGAAAGTTTCCCGCCTCTCGATCGATGTCACTGTAGACGAGTGTCTAGGCAAATCAGATTGCGATTATTCGTTTAAGGACCCTCACACAAACAGCTGTTCGCCGAGTGATGGACGATGTTTTTCTCTCATTCTTTTTCCTCTGTTATTCTTTTTTCTGCCACGATCCCTTTCTTAATTTCC